AAAAAAAAAAAATAACTAAAAACTAAATTAACTGCATAAAAAATTTCCCACCTTATATCCTGCTGGAGGCGGAATTAAGCAATTGAATCGCCTTTCAGGTGGTGGGCAGTGTCTTTCATAGTGCTCCATCAAAGATAGGTCCAACTTCAATCTCATTTGATATATAAGGTGTCTGTCTAGGCATGGGATCAGCTCTGAATGCCGATCATCACAGACCTTAATGATGACAAAAGTAATAATTAAGGCCAATTGCCAAACCAGAATCAAGATACAAATTACAGACAATGTGGTGCAGTGGACATTGTATCCAGAATAACTTTTCGTGTATTGAGCAGATAAAGCTAATTTGCATACACTGCGTGCCTAACTACAAAAACTACCCAGAGGTTCAACCAAACTAACCAAAAAAAGGGGGTATTAGTAATTTTCAAAATAAAAGGAGCGCTTTTGTAATTAGGCTAAACCTAAGGTGTTATTTAGTAATTATCTGGAAAATGTGGCAAATCGAAAAAAGAAACAAAGAATTACCGGGAAGCTCTTTGGGGTGACACCATCCTCGTCATCCAGAGAAAACTTGGTTGAAGGTTCATCTTGGTTGTGACCGAGATCAGAATCTTCATCCCCACCCAAATATGAAGAACCAAGTTTCCTCAAAGACCGGCTGCCGTATTCTATAGCAGACTCCCCACCATTTTTGGAGCCAAAGTAGGCATACAGAAAGATGAGAAACACAGCCACAACAAACACAGAAGTCAACAAGCGCTTTTTCTGCGCTCCATCCGATCTCCCCCTCATTGGCTTTTATCTTTTATTTTATTTTGTTTATAAATCTTGGGCTAATATCCTTGGTGAAAAGCCAGGACCCTACTCCAGCTTTCTGGGTTTTGTGACTTTATAGGTCACAAAAATGATCCCATTTTCAGACTGGTGCTGTATCAAAACCTGCAACATAATTGGCAAATACAGATGAATGGACGTGAACTATTTTATGGATGGCACAAATCAAGGTTTATAGGATAGAAAATATGAATGTACGTGGTTGTGAATTCAGAGAAGTTTGATTTGTTAAATCATCTTTCTAGTTTCAACCCTGAACCAACTTGATCCAAGACAGTAAGACATCTGTGAATTTAAAATAGTGTGCTCAAGAACAAGCGATGAACAGATAATAAGGCTTGTAATGCTTCAAACTGTAAGGTCAGCTGAAAAAAATGTTATATAGAACAAGAAAATTACTAGTTTTTAGTGTTTTCTACAACTGTGGCTAGAATCTAACCATAAGTACAACTTAAATTGGTTGTCACTGAGACAATGAGTGCTCCTGCTACAACAAAGTTACCAAAAACAGAATAAGAAAAGACCACACATTCAAGTAGATTTACTAGTTATTTCCACAAATGAGAAATATTCTCAAAGCTGCCAATTGCAATCACTTTCAACTAAATATATAACACCTACTCGGGTGGGCGATCACTTATTTTCCTTACTTATTAGAACTCCGTTATCATATCACTTTCAACTAAATATATAACACCTACTCGGGTGGGCGATCACTTATTTTCCTTACTTAATAGACTCCGATATCATATTCCAAAGAAGTTCAAGTAATTTTTTTCCTAATCCACCCCTTTCTCTTCAGCAGTACAAATACCGTAAAATCTTAGCCACCAATCAAAACAAACAACAAACACAAAATTCAATGAAATTCTAATCTTCTTCCATAAACCAACTCAATACCACACACACAGCTCGTGAAGGCAGATCTACACAACATCAAGCCCTCCACAAGCTTAGCATTCATCAAACAATGCATTAACAAAACAAGCAATTTCAAATCAAAGCAACTCCAACTAAAGAAAACGAGTAAATCAACAAATCGAAACAGGATCATCAGGCGGGGATAAAAAATGATGCTCACATAATAAAAAAAATGTCGATCTGAGCAGATCTGAATTAGATTACCTGAGATGATTATAGCATAATCAGAAAATTGAGATGTAATGCGGGTGGCGATAAAAGGGGGGGGGAGTGGATCAAGATTTGCACGGTCTTCAGGGGGAGCAAGAGTGAGTAAACAGAGAGCGGAGCTTGTTTTAGTATACTAAAGATAGGAATTTGGAAAATACGAAAGAAAACACCAAGAATAATGATGATGAAAAAGGGTTCGCAGGCTGGGGCCTGGAGCTGGGTAGGTAGATCTAGTTTCTTGCTCTCAGACTATCTTTATTCATGACCTAACCCAACCCAACCCAACCCAATTCTTTTAATAAAATACTCATTTCTCTCTCCTCCACATATACAACCCACAACCCAACTCTATTTCTA